GCCGCTGGTGGTGCTGCTGTACATCGTGGGGCTGCTGGTGGTGGTGCCGCTCTGCGTTTGGGAGCTGCAGAAGCTGGAGGTGAGGGACGGAGCGCCGCGGGGGGCGCCCGGTCCCACCCGCACGGCCGCGGCGGGGCGGCTTCCCTGCCCTGAGGCAGCCGGCAGCACCCTTGGGCCCCGGGGAGAGAGCCCGGGAGCAGAGAACAGCCGGAGAAGTGCCGCCGCGGTGCTGTGTGCGGCCGCGGCGCTGGTAACGCGCGAACGATGCGAGGTGGAACCGGGCAGGATTTCCTTCTCCTTCCGGTTCAGCAATAATTAGTGTTCAGGCGGTTGATGCGGAGCTGAAGAAGCTGCAGTCAGGCTCTGTAGAAGCAGGGCTGGAGCTCTGCCGCTGCCCTGCCCACGGCTTTTCACGCCCAGTAGAAATACTGGCATTCGTGACCTGGTATTTCAGGTAATCCTGCCTGCCAGGGAGAATTGAGGTAGTAGAGCAGCTTCTCTTTCAGGCTGGTGGTACCGTAGTATGTCATAACAGCAGCCTATCAATTACACGTGGCAACATTACTTTTCTAGCAAAAAGTAAAATTTTAACCATAAAATACATGTTGCGTTTCATACAGGCTTTTACCAGTGGTTAATGCCAGTAAAATCTGGTTTGAGTGTATTTAAAATTTCCGATTTTGAAAACCCTGTTCTGATGCTTTTGTATGTTCAGCCCAATGGATACTTAAGTCAAAGCAGCATCTGAAACGTCAAAATCACTGAATCTGATACTGATAGACAAACTACTCGGAAGCAATTTTTGAACAGGAAGGCAACGGAGGATGTGGGATGTTGATGTACAGTAGAGGATCAGAGAAGCAGTTCTCAACAACAACAACACCCCCCCCCCCCCCCCCCCCCGAGAAATCTTACATGCATATCTATTTCAGAGTGGCTAAATGAAACTATTTGGAACTCGATTTTAAAGCTAAAAATACCTTAAATCCCTAAGCTTCCAGAAACTTTATAATGTAGCACTGAAGTAAGACAAGTTCCATACCTAAAGCAAGGCATCCATTGTGGCTTTCAGCAAATTAAGTACTGAACATTACTGTGCTTTTGTAGGACACTTGTGTTTATTGATGATGGTTTTGTTCGGTCCTGCAGGATTTCTCATATTTTTCTTTGGAGTTTTTAAGTTTTACTCTAAGCCATGTCAACAGATTGCAAGGGAGACTTTGGGATTTTGTGTATTTGAAAGGGAAGAGTTAGAAAAACTAAATACTGGGATATGTACTTAATGTCCATCTTCAAACTTAATTCACAGTGGGGAAAAAAAAAAGAAATTATTTTTCTTGCTATACTAGTTCAACTTCAAAGTATGAGTACTGAAGTTTTGATCTTGCATTCTTCTTTTTCTCTGGAAGGTTGGAATTCATACCAAAGCATGGTTTATTGCTGGGATATTTCTGCTAATGACTATACCAATATCTCTCTGGGGAATACTACAACACTTAGTCCATTATACACAACCTGAATTACAGAAACCAATAATAAGGTAACATTTTGTATTTTACCTGTGCTACGAATGTTGAATTTAACTCAGACTACAAATACTTCTAGTAATATTAAATGTTCTTTTGTTATTGTAACAGGATTCTATGGATGGTGCCGATTTACAGTTTAGACAGTGTAAGTGTTCTCTTCCTGTTAACAGCTCAATAAAATTCTGTTTGCTGTGGGAGTGAGGGAAAACACTGTCACAGTGAGCAGAAACTGTGCTGCATGGAGAATTGTAGTCATAGAAAGTTCTGGGCATTCCTATTCATGGAGCATGTCAGAAGCATAGTTCTAGTGATGTTGCATTCTTCTTGTGGAGCTTGTGGGATTGCTTTTGCTAACCCTTCTTAACCTTGGTCCTTGAGTATCCTTTATGACAGATGTGGAAAGGGGTACGACAAGAGCCTGCTTCTGGTCCTTCCATCTTCAGTGAGAGGCTGAACTGGAAACCAGACTGATCAAAGTGCTGTCTCAAAATTTAGTGCCTTACCTTTCTGTCCCGAGTTATGCTTAGTGCTAAAATTCTTGCTTTGTGCTTCAGGGGGCAAAGGGTAAGATCCCACAAAAAAAATCCACTTCTGAATACTTTTATGTGATAGAATCTATTTGCCATACCAGATATGGTTTATGTAAATACATCACCTGTGGAGATTATTTCAGCCAGAGCTAAGCAACATTCTAAATCTGTGGACTGTACAGGATGTGTGTTTACATGTCATCACCTCCTGACACTTCAATTACTTGTTTCCCCTGTAAAAGACAGCTTTTGAGGAACTTTTCCTTTGATTTTTTTTTTTTCTCCCATCTCCTGAGTGTTTATGAAGTGTCATCCTTATGTATGTTTGGTTTGGTTTTGGGTTGATGTTTGGTTTGGTTTTGGTTTTAAGACTGGCATTTTAGAGTATCTCAGAATGAAGGAGAATGGGGAAGAAAACAACATTATCTCTTTCCTATGGGGAATATCAACTATCTCAGGTTGATATTTCAATTTCAAGTACAGAATTTTGCTTTGGAAGAAAATTACTCACTAATTAAGCAAGCTCTAGCCAGGCATTCAGGGACATTGCTGACATGCTGAAATCTTTACCCGAACTCCTGGATCTTATGGCCTTTGCTCAATATATGGTATCCTCCTAAGAGTGCTTAATCTGTGCTGAAAATAAAGTCCTCTTCTCAGATTCAAAAACTGTTATTTTCAGTTTACTAGCTGCAGTAGTACATCTTCCACACAGCTGTTGCAGCATCTGTATCTCTTTGTTAACTGTGATGAGGATGTGAAGCATTTTCTTGTAGTTCTAATAAGAATGTCAGAGAAAGCACATTTGTTCTACTACAGCCTAGGAAAACAAAGTAAACTCAAAAGACTTGCCTCTAAGGTTGAAACTCCATCTCTCCCCCCAAAAAACCCAACCCCCTAAAAAGTCCTGTAAGACAGGCTGCACTGGACAGTGCAACAGCAGTGTGATACTCAGAAATAAAAATTGAAAGCTCGGACAGCTGATCCATAATCCCAGTTTTGAAAAAAAAAAAATCACTTTTCTGTCTGAAATTCTAGTTTAGAGGGATGATTACCACTTTAAGGCTAATCTGCTGCTTCCTTCTGTATTTTACAAAGTGCCAGAACACATATTTACACAGCAGATCCCAAAAGCAACTGACTTTATACTGAGGGACTAAAAACTTAGTTCTCAATTCATCTTGATAATGAATATGTGAATTCCAGGAAAACGTTCTATCTTGTCTCCTCCTAAGAGGAGTAGGTTATGTGCAGGGAACCATCTCCTCACATTTACATGGAAGGCTGAGAGACACGGAGCATTTATTGTGCTGTGCTTTAAGCACGCTTCCGTTTGAAGCAGCAGAGATGCAGTCTGAAATTCTACTTATATTTTTACAGAACGTTATTTTCTAGCTGTAGCATCGTGCCCCTGTTAGCCAAATGCTTCAAGCCCTGTTTAATTAGTGCCTGCTCTCTAATGAAGTACTGCTTGCTGAACTAGGCAGCCAGTGTTGTCATTGGAATTACTTTTGTCCTTCTTGCCTGTAACCTCTTGTTTACCTCTCTCCTTACAGTGGATAGCTTTGAAATACCCCAACATTGCAATATATGTGGATACATGTCGAGAATGCTATGAAGCTTATGTCATCTATAATTTTATGGTTTTTCTTTCAAATTATCTAACCAACCGGTATCCAAACCTCGTATTAATAATAGAAGCGAAAGATCAGCAGAGACATCTGCCACCTCTGTGTTGTTGTCCGTCGTGGGCTATGGGAGAGTGAGTATACGATGACATCTTAAAATTTTAAGCTGTGTAATCAGATGTAAACGTGTTTTGGGGTTTTTTTCATGTTTAATAGTATAACTTGTTCCTTGTCAGAGTCAGTTCATGGTTTGCGCACATCTTGTTTATCAACTATGAACTCCTACTGAAAGCAGCTGTGAACATGTTTTCTAGCTGTAAAATGTCCTATTTGCTTAGTTACAAACATGCATTGACACAGGTGGTGCTGAAGAAAACTTCTTGGGTTTTGAAAAAACACTGGAGAATGTTTCCTTGAATTTGCTTCCTTTGCTATCGTGTAATATTTGCCAAAAAGCCTCGTGTAGAATCGCTGGTAGACCAGACAGCCTATTGCTTTTACTTCCACAGGTGAAGGACAAAAGGGAATAAGCCCCTGCACTGTTTGTTTCTGCATGCTTAATCTGCTAAATCTGTCTCTCTTAAGAGATTTTGATAAAGCTATTTAAAATGTTACAGACAAACTATGAATGTAAGTCATTCTTAAACATCTTCAAACTCAGTGAAAATTTCATTCTTTGTTTAGCCCAGCCAGAAGCTTTCCGTGGCCAGAAGTAGTGAATCATTGAGTATTTCCTGTTACGTATCTAAAAAAGTCTAGGTCTTTTGTGCACTGCATATATACACACTATATACTGTAGCATCTGAAGTCTTGGAAACAGAAGTTGAAATTACCATGAAATAAAAATTTAGTGTAGTGAAACTACTGAGAACAGGAGACTTCCATAAGTGAATTTTCTTTAAATCCTTGTACAATGAATTTTGTGTTTCTCTTGCAGAGTTTTATTATTTAGATGTAAACTGGGGGTTTTGCAGTACACTGTTGTCAGACCATTTACTACCATTATTGCTTTGTAAGTATGCTCCTAAATAATTAATATTGATCTTCAGGATCTAATTTTGAGTTATACTGAAAAGAATTTTCATACCCTTTGTCTTGAATCAAGGCAGTCTGAAAGCAGACTTGTTGTCTTACAGACTAAATGAGTCCCAGCAATTTCAAACAATCTTTGATTTCTTTACAACTTCTCTATAGCAAATTGCTGTTTGCAGAATTGAAATAATAAATACCTAATGCTTGCTGCTGAAAGTGGTGGGAGAGAATGTGAAGTACTGTTTATGTGGGAAGACATTTTTATGATCTCTTAAATCTTTAGAGTCTTTTTTTTTTTTCCTCCTCCCTTTTCTCACTGGCTTCAACAATTGGGTATTTTTAAAGTCAGGTTTCGTGTAACTTTTAAAATTTCATTAAGCTTTGCATGTGATGAGCCTGACTGTGTACCTTCATACGTATCATACAGCCTTTTGTGAAGGAATAGCTGGCGGTTATGGATGTTGATGCTGAAAGCTTCATTTTCATTAACTTTGTATTAATGGTCACTACTGTTAATTCTGTGAGACTGCGGAAGAAGTTGCTACTCGCCAAGAATATCCATAGAAATATTTATATTGGCTGTATGTGTTCTAACAGTTAAAAGCAAAATGGCTTTAAAAAAGGATGTTTAAGTGTTGAATTCTTTCAGCAATGGGCTATGTTAAGCCTGCATTCAAACCCTCTTTCTTCTATGGAAAACACAATACGAATGTGCTGTTGGCAACTGATTCTTGTGCAGAACCCACAATGCCCATATTTGAGTACCAGAAGAGTTCTAGGATTCCAACAGTTGATCGATGTAAAGCAGGTTTAGCACTTCAAGAAAGCGAGCTTTTACTACGTGGTCATTAACTCTAAAAATTCTTTCAGAATTTGTGAACTAGTGGGAGTGTATGATGAAGGAAACTTCAGCTTCAACAATGCTTGGACTTACTTGGTTATACTAAACAACATGTCACAGCTAGTGAGTATCAAGAGTACATATTTCTGCTCTTTTAAGTCATCGTATTAGTATCATTAATGTTCTCTGTGAACTATTGATAGTAATTGTGTTAATGTCTGGTAATTCTTATGGGAAGAGTATTACCCACTGTAAATCAAAGTTGCTATCTGTTAAATACTGTATATGTAAAATACTAGGAAAACAGATCATCTAAAACTTTTCTTATCTTTACTACAAATCTCCATAAAGCAATAAAGTGTCCCACCTCTCTAGCACAGACTGATGGGGTGAAACACTATGGCCCAGGCACGTTAGAGCTGTAGACTCTCCCCTCTGCAGAAGGGATGACTTCACTCGCCCCCATAGCTTCCTCCCAGCATGCAAAGAATCAGCAGTGGCTGTGTTTAAAAATACCATGTCACAAAGCTGGTGGAAACAATACTGATAGGAAAAATGGCAACGGCGCATGGAGCACTGAGATTCTGGCCTGCCTAATGCTTGCTCTTGGTTCAGCTGGCAGGTGGTGTCAGGGCAGGGCCAAGATGTCAACTGCTGGACTTGAAGGTTTTATTTTGGAGGTTAGGGGTTGGATTTAGTGGCTTTCTGGGAATGCAGAGGAATCATTCTCTTTTTCACTCAAGGCACATGACACGAGCTATTGCCCAGAGCAGCAGCTCTGGCTCCTTGCTGCATAGCCTTCTAGCCTCCAAGCTGCTCCTCTTGGTGATGGCAGCAGGAGTCAGGACAGCACAGCATCTCCTCTGGAAAAGGTGTCCTCCTCCTGCTCCCACCCCTGTGTCTCATGGGCAGCTGTTAGGGAAGGAGCTGTACCTGCTTTCTGCTGTGACAACAGTCCCAGCAGCAGCATGTACTTCGGCATGTCCTGGTTGACATCATCGCTTAAAGAAACAAGGGGAAGAGGCTTGGAGAATGTGCATGCAGAGGTGAGATCAGTTCCTTAGGTTTGGCTGAGCATTAGTTTGGTGGCTTGCTGTTGTTAGGAAACTTGTTACGATTTGCAGGAAGATTGCATAGAGGCAACATCTTGAGGTGTTCTTAACAGAAGCCTAAAAGAACGTGCTTTTTTTTTAATGCCATTTTCCCAAGAGATATGCTTGGCACTGAGAAGATTTTATGGGACCTTCCTGTGCTTTGCTTTACTGTGTAGATAGATAACCTCAGTCTCCATCTGCCAATACCACACACTTCAGAAATACAATTTCAGGCAAAAAAAAAGTCCGCTTTAAAACATTAAGGTGAAGATTCCATAAATACAGAACCTCTTTTCTAAAATAGCTATCTTTTTAAGTTTCTATCGTACTGTGATAAGATTTATTTTTTTTTTTTAACTGAAGAGATGCTGCAAAACAACTCCCTCACAGGACAAACAAGGATTTGAAAGCTTTTCTTTGTTTTCTTTTCCTTGTTAGTTTGCTATGTATTGTCTGGTGCTGTTTTATAAAGTACTACGTGAAGAACTGAACCCTATCCAACCTGTTGGCAAGTTCCTTTGTGTGAAGATGGTAGTTTTTGTTTCGTTCTGGTAAGTTAATTATTTACTCATTACTTGCTCTTGGGGTGGATCACGAAAGAGGAAAAAAGGCTGGATTTGTTACTGAGGTTAGAGGCCTCAAAAAATCTACCCATTTTCTTAAGGGAGTGCTGTGAGGGGAAAAGGGCACTAGTATGTTGGACAGAGCAGTCTTACTCACTTGAGATTATTTTCTAGACCTGCTATTTTGTAAGGTGATTCTCAGGAACGTAATTTATTTTAGAGCCTTCACTTGCAGCAATTTCAAAACAAAAAAAAATATTATTTTTTAAAATAAAAGTAAAAAAATATTTCACTTTTTCAAAATTTACTATAAATTACAGTTTAAGCATTGCTCACACTTAGCTGCTAATGAGTGAGTGCATTTGACTATCTGAACGTTAATCTGTGGGCTGTCCTGATGCTCTTGATAGAGAAGCAACTTGTTCTGTAACTGGAACAACAAACTCTTCTTCGGTTGGTCATTAGGACTCTGTTGGTCTTTAGGACCGCAGATGAATGACATCGCTTTTTAAGTCTCTTTTCCTTCTCTTAAAATCTATAAACAGTAAGTTTTTTTTTGTAAGATTCTTTGAGTGTACATACATATGAGCAGGCCTTGTTTACCAGATTTGCTTGCAGGTTTTTTGGTGCTACTGTTACAATAATGGAAAATAATCTTTATAGGCAAGCGGTGCTCATTGCATTGTTGGTGAAAGTCGGTGTTATTTCTGAGAAACACACCTGGGAATGGCAAAGTGTGGAAGCTGTGGCTACAGGCCTACAGGTAGGAGCAGCTGATTACTACTGAGGAGGAATGGCTACGTGTAAGATGACATAGCTGATCTCGAGCAAATATTGTCACAGTCACTAATTAAGACAGGCTAGGATAGTACTGAATTTGTTATAAGTTGGGGAAAGTTTCAGCCAGTCATCCCCAGCGAGCTTTATGCTCAACGCTTACATATCCATGTGCTGGGCAGAAGGAATGTGCCCCAATTAAATACTTCTCTTCAATAGCCTTGCATTTCTTCTTGCAAGAATTCATTATAGAGCTGCTTCTTGTTGAATCTCCACTTCCAGCAAGTCAGTCCATCAGGCAAGGATTGATTCCAGTATGTGTGGAGTACCCATGGCCCTCTGAAGCCTACCAAGAATACCCTACCTCTGGTGCCAGTATCCCAAGGCACTTGCAGTCTTTTGGTGGTAGAAGAAACCATTTTTTCTCTAGTTATGATTAAGTCAGTCTCTCTCTCATTGCAGGATTTTATCATTTGTGTGGAGATGTTCCTGGCTGCTATTGCGCATCACTACAGTTTCTCCTATAAACCTTATGTTCAGGAGGCTGAAGAAGGGTCATGCTTTGACTCTTTTCTTGCAATGTGGGATATTTCTGATATAAGGGCAGATATATCAGAACAGGTTCGAAATGTTGGTAAGTAACAGATTTGAATGATCTATTCACAGCACAGGCATTTCCAGCTTCATTTTACACTATTATCCATCTCTACAGTACCTTAAGAATGTTCCAGACCCAATGAGTGGCAGCTGTCTGCCTACAGGATTTCATGGTTTATCTGGTACTTTGCTGTTTTCAGTGCTCTTGACTGATCTAGAGTCTAGTTCTTAATTTTTCTTTTAAATAGATGGATCTCGGGGTAGGTTTTAGGCGTGTTAGGTGGAAGAAAGGGATGTCCCTTTTGGTTCTTTTTTGTTGTTGTTTTTTAAATGGAAAGACATCCTTTTATTTATTAAAGCTAACAACACCCATGTAAAACTGTCAGAGACTAATTTCATGCCTATTTTAGAGTTGATGTGTTCGAAGGCCTTGGTATAGTGCTGGAAGTATTAAAAAGTATTTTCATTTGGCGTAATTCTAGGAAGGACAGTTTTGGGCCAGCCAAGGAAAATGTTTTTTGCTGAGGATCATGAACAGAACGAACATACGAGTTTACTGTCTTCATCTACTCAAGACCCAATTTCTGATGCTTCTTCAATGCCATCTTCACCCATGGGTCATTATCAGGGGTTTGGACACACTGTGACACCTCTCACAACACCGACGGCAGCCCCTGCAGTTGATGGTATTTACACTTCTGCTATTCGAGATGCTGAGGAGTCACCTGAACTAGAGCACAGTTCATCAGAGAAAGCTTTGAATAAAAGTTAGACTCACCTTTTCTTTGAATGTGTCAAGGAGTCTGTACATACTTGCCACACACCTTCTGTTAAGGTGTACTATTAGTGGTGAAAGTTGAAGAGCGTGGAAAAGCTGCTGCACAGGCAGGAAGAGGATATGGCTGTAACTGACATCTGAATTCTGAATCTATAAGGGATGCGAGTATCTGTGAGTACCCCACGAATAGAAAACACGCACACTGTAAAGATCTCTGCATATATCTGAGAATCAACTCCTTAACTGCTAAACACACATCATGTCAAAATTACAGACTTTTATTAATACAGAAGAAACATTTGAAAAAAAAGCTTTTCTAAAGCTGAAGTGTAAGTACTACTAGCAAGGGCAAAACTAATTTCAAGAATGTCATTTAAGAAGGGCAGTAGCAAAAATTGTTTGTGTTCACGTTGGTTGTCCTCTTAATGATGATAACTTCCATACCCCAGTGTCGGAATGAGTGTGGATGAAATGATAACTTCTGTACAGACACCATCTTCTTTCCTGCCTAGCTAAATAAACCTCCTTCATTAAGATGATTATTACAGAGCATCACTAAAGAATCTCTATGAAGAAAGCATTCCCTACAGGCCTTGCTAGACAATTCCATGCCCAGAACATACGGTTGATGTATCTGTTGTCTTTGTAGCTCATAATTTGTAAGTTTTTTACATTCAGAAGAGACAGCCAGGATGATAGGTTTTGGAGAAGTACCTTACACTTGACTACTTTTTTCCTGTCCTTCTAAAATAAGAATAATGGTTATGACCTTAAAATACATGGGGGGGGGGAATAAAGGATGTCAAAAAAGAAGTAGAAAACAAAACTGATTTCTTTTAGGCTGCAATCAATTCTTTAACACTTAAGGGTTTTTTTAAGCTGTTAAAGCTTGACAACGTATCTGTAGTAATTTGTATTCATAACTTGGGTGTGATTATTGTATTATGTTTCTAGTATAGCCTGGATGCAAATGTAATGGTTGGTTTTTGGTTCCCCCCCCCAACCACTCCAGAAAAGATCTTTGCTAAGGTAAAACTAAGTATCCAGTTTAATACTGGAGGTCCTAGCATTAGATTTCAGACCAAGAACTGACAAAATCAGAGAGGTATGGTTTCTGTCCCATTACCAGATTTTTACTACTTTTGCATGAATCTGACAAAAACAAAAAAACCCTGGAGCACTGACCTTTTAAGGACATCTGAAGTTTCTTTTCCAGCATTTTTAGCATTTACAGGATAAATGTTTGACTTCTGGCTGTCATAGTAAATTCATCTTAAATGTGGGGGTTTTTTGGGTTTTTTTTTGCAGTACTAGTGTGATGTAAATATTGCGCCTTACTCACTAGGCTGCATATTTTATAGTTGTCTGTACTTGCTGTATCTGAAGTTAGTGGGAAAGTGCAAATCATAATTTTCAATTTACCAAGTCATTGCCTTTGTTGTAAATAAGCAATTAAAGATTTTATTTAAACTGTTTACCTTGTTTCAATCTGATTTATGGCTATAGTAATTTAAGAGTATGGATGACCCATGAATACAACTGTCTTCCTTCACAGAAGGGGATCTTATGCATAACCAGTACTAGAGTTTGTGCTTTCAGTATTTTAAGACTTGCACTAAAAAGGGAATTCTTGTTTGAGCTTATGAAGAATCAGAATGTAGACTTATGCTTGATTCCAGATATGTTTTTATCCATGTAAAAGCCATGTTTTAAAAGGAAACAACTTGTAAAAGCTCACTTCACTGCCCACTGCAGTCACTACTAGAATTAATCTGATTTTCTGCATGTATACGGGTAAAAAGGGGCAGTGGTTGAAATAACACTGAAGGATTGGAGCTACCACACCCTTAGCTTTTTAGAAATGTCCTGTGAAGAATTTTTCTTTTTTGATACCTGAAGTTATGTCTGCCTGGCCCAGAGAGGGAAGACTTTGATAGGAAAACAGCTACTGCTGTGTCTGAGTTGCTTCTTTCACAGCATTTCTGGAAGGCTAAGTTATTTTATTTTTACTCAGCTATTCTATGTGCACAGTATTCCTGCTTTTTTTTTCTTGGAGGAAAAGTTACTTCTTCAGTTTACAGGATTCATTGCTACTGAATTTCCAAAATACTGAAAGACTTCTATTAACACCTCCCCAAAACTAACCCACAACCTGACTTACCAAATTTGTTTGCAAATCATCCTTAATCTTTACATTAACCATATTTGTTTCTGCATGGTTTTTATGCCTAATCTTCTCCCAGCTTTTAATCTGAAATTTTAAAAGCTTGCTCTTGCCTTACATAACACACTGCTTGAAAACTTAGTAATGGTTATTTTCATCCCTTTACTTACTCAATGAGAGTAAGAGTAGAATCCTTAAGTTTTAACTCTTTTTGCTCTCTTCATTGTCAATATACCTAACCACTAATTAGTGGTTTTGCTTTCCTCAGAGGTCTTTCAGCATGAAAAGTAAAACCACTTCTCTAAAACTGTACTTTGATTAAAATATGCTGTACTGCTGTACAACACTACTAAACCTAGTAATTTGAATTTATTTATCATGCTTTGGGTGGGGGGAGGAGTGGGTCTCCTAATATAAAACACCTCTGTCCTACTCTAATCTGCTTACATTTTGCTGTGCATTGTACTGCTTGGATGAAGGATGGTATACAGTTACTTTATCATCAGGAAAGTTGACATAATCATTACCTCTGTTTTGGAAAAAGATAAAATAAATTGGAAACCTTTCCTCCATCCTTCTAGAAAGAGCTTTATTATAGCAGTCTGTCAAGTGCAAGTTCAGCTGCAGGCTGGGACAGCTCCAGCAGTCCCTGAGATTAAACCAAAAGAGTCATCTGAGCCCTCTGACCTAATGAAGAGGGCATACAGATCATACATGCAGGGAGATTCTATAAAATAATTAGTGGATGGCTCTATACAGGCTCCTGTTAAGGAAATGCTGCTTCTACACTGAATAAACAACACAATATAAAGAAAATTAGTGACAAAATACCTTGCTAACAGTCTCATAGCTAAAGGTAGAATCAGTGCTGAGAGGCTTTTGTTAATCTTCCATTTGGATACAGATTTACTAGAAGGAACTTGTTACCTGCATTATATTAAAATGCAAAGCTGTAGAAGAGATGCGGGAGTACTGTGGTAACATGTAATATTGTATACCACTTTTCACATGAACAAGACTCTAGGCCCATTATATTACCAGAAATGATTCTGAGGGAATTTCAAGTTTACTAGCTTTACCTTCCACTCTAGAACTCGAGTTATTCAACAACCCTCCTTTACAACTTTTTCTAATTGTCTCCCTCTAATAGAGGTACATAGGGCACTTGGCACCTGAGAAGCAGAACCACAGCTTTGTGTCTCAAGACTCTTATCCTGAACAGCCACAGCTGTTTCTTTCTGGTACAGGCATGTGGATGCTTTTCTTCTTACTACAGATGATAGGGTAGCAAAAGAAGCCAGTCCCACTTTGGCTACAGTCACTGCAACAGCCAGCAGTCAGGTTTCTGCTGTGGTGAAGACACTACCTCCCCCAGTTGCCTGGTAAGATACCCTTCACAGGGCAAGGTGTAGTCCATCAGTGGAACTTAAGCATCTACTATTAAAGCAACAACAGTAAATAAAATTTAGACTTTAATATAAATTAACATCAGCGATGTTACACACAGCCAATTTACAGGTAATTAGCCACAGATCAGTTTACACATGACATTCTTTGCCGTTTAACCGTAATGCTAATATTGCTTTTATGGTGTTGAACATCAAGCACGAGTTCATCTCCAACCTGAACTTGGATGGGCTTATCGAGAACAACTGCAGCTTGTTTCCAGTGTGAGGACTTATCAGATGTATTCAAGCTGTGGTCTTCATCCAGATGTATGTGATACCAGAAGGGAATTGCAGTCACTTGGCCAGACTTACAAATTTGTACCTACAAATATTTAAAATACAAGTTTAATCAGTTAAATCCTTTCTAAAAAAAGAAAATAAAAGCCATTCAAACCATGTCAATCCATTTCAGAGATACCTGCAGACAAGTAAATGCTGTGTTGGAATTTTCAGTCAAGGTGAGCAATGAAGCAGCAGCTCTGAGGAACAGCAGTTAAGCATGCTTCTCACTTCACCTATACACAACTCACCTTCACTTCTCTGCTGGAACTGTTCAACAGAGGGTTCATGAGATCTAGCCTTAAAAGCTCCACTGGCTTGCTCAAGGGTAGACATGGTAATGTAGAGAGATCCAAATACACACGGACAGGCACCTAAGAGTACACAGACCATAACTTCAGGCAGGCATCAATAGCCATTAAAAAGTGAAAAGTTAAAAGGTTTAATCATAATGCAAAAGTTTCTAGGAATTGCTGTAATGCCTGTATGCAACAGCCAAAATGCAAAATACACCCTTCTAATCCCTTATGAAATGTGACTGTTGGGATACCAACAGTCAGCAGCATCCTGGCTTGTGTCAGCACTCGTGTGACCAGCAGAAGGAGGGAGGTGACAGTCCCCCTGTACTCTGCACTGGGCAGGCCACACCTGCAGTGTTGGGTCCAGTTTTGGGCACCTCAAGAGAGATCTCGAGGGGCTGGAGAGAGGCAGAGGAGGGCAATGAGGCTGGGGAAGGGCCTGGAGAATAAATCCTGTGAGGAGCCACTGAAGGAGCTGGGAGTGTTCAGTGTGAGGAGGCGGCTGAGGGGGGCCCTCATCCCTCTCTGCAGCTCCTGAAAGGACACTGTAGAGAGGCTGGGGCTGGGCTCTGCTCACAGGGTATAAGGGACAGAACAAGAGGGAACGGCTTGAAACTGCAACAGGGGAGGGTCAGGCTGGGCACGAGGAGAAAATTTTTTGCAGAAAGAGTGGTCAGAGAGTGGAATAGGCTGCCCAGGGAGGGGGTGGAGTCCCTATCCCTGGGGGTGTTTAAGGGTCGTTTAGATGAGACATGGGGGGATGTAGTGTAGGGGACAACTTCGTAGAGTTGGGCTGATGGTTGGACCTGATGATCCCACGGGGCTTTTCCACCCTGAATGATTCTGTGATACCAGGTGATGAAGGGAGATACTAACAGCACAGCCACTCTTTTGTAACAATAACACTGCATCTTACCTTACTCAGGCAAAACTTCTCTAACACCAGTCCTAAAACAAATGTTTTAGTTTATCTCAAGGTCTCTGTCTGGTCACATAAACCTCTCTTGATAACTTCAACAATATGAAAGAGTTTCAGCTCTTTGGTTTTCTTCCAGTTTATGCCAAATCCAAACAGCTAGACAGCTGCAGGCTTTGGAACTGTGCCTGGAAGACACCCAACAACTTCATACCTTGAACTGGTTGATAAAAGGGGCTATATTAAACCCAAGAGTTGGCTCTGTTCCTTGAACCGCACTCTCCAGTAACAGAGACTCTGATTCTACGAGCATCCCGTATACCAAAACATACTGTGGGAAAATCTTCCCTCCACTGTGAAGTAAACATCTGTAAAATGAGAGAGATTTCACCTCTAAAGCATATCATTCAACAGTAATGACAGAATATGAACTACGTTTAAGAAAGGCACATTAGTTCTTCCTCTGAAGTCAAGTGCTCATGAGCATTTGAATTTGATCCTATTTGACCAGACAGCTGTATCACACAAAAAAGGAAAACTTCTCACATAATACTTAAACTCTGGAACAAAGTGTTGTGTCAGTATTGGAAACAGGTGATATTTGAAGAAGATAGTGGGATTTATTCATGGCACCATCATCTAATATTGAAGGACTGGCAGAAATGCTTAAGGAAATGGGAAATCAGGGAGTACATACTGTTGAGGGCACTGGTTAAGGAGGCAGCATAGCCCTAGGGAGGCAAAACCCGGTGGGAATTTAAATCACCCTTCTTTAAGTGTTTAGCTAAAAGTTGACAGCAATATGAGAGACAGCATTTTTTCCTGAAAAAACACCTGAGCCTTGCTTGGTCTCTTGCTTCAGAATATCACAGTGCTAAGAGCAGCAACAGGATAGCAGCTTCCACTCAGCACAGTATCAAACACCTCCAATTCAATACAGATCCTTTCAGGTTTCCTTTTCCTATCACAGGCCTCCTTTCATACGAGTTGGGTGGCAAAATAGTACTCTGCTGGATGTATTTTCATGCCAACAGATTTGCATCTGCATATAAGAAAAGAGTAATTTCCCGTTTGTTCTTACAGAAAAAAAAATTAAAAAATCATGTCATCCAAAGATTTATTCAAAACTTACCAAAGATAGCAAACATAAGTTTGTCTGGAGTATTATACCATCACTAAGCATGAAGATGAACAGAAAAGATCCCCTCACACCACAAAAGGGGATAAACTCATTTCACATTTACTTTTTTTGCTATCCATTTCCATTATTTTATTTCTCTTGCTCTGCATTTCTCCTGCAGTGGGTAACACCTAGCTTTATTGCTGCCTCCCTGGCTGTTCTATCACCACATATTTGTCTTCCAGCACTATCAGTTTGTTCCAACAACAGTCTGACACATCCATGAATCTGCACCTTTCTAGCCTTGCACTAAGACTTACCTCAGTTATTACTGAGATGCTGGCTATCCTGGGAACTTCTGACAGACAAAGCAATAGATCTTACATTCATATTCTTGCATACAAAATATTTTTAAAAAATTTCCATGAAAGTGAAATCTTAACACTTTTTTTTTAAAAAAAAAAAAGATACATGCATACAATGGTTACAGCAGAAACACACTGGGAGGTTCAGTCTGTTCAGAAAACAAGTTTTCCCTGCTCTACAGAACCAACATGACAGTAATTTTGTATTTTCAAAAGTTTTCAGATAATTATGGATTCCTAGGAATACTTTTTTGTCTGTTGATACTGTACCTGGATATTGCAGCCTTTTCCATCACCTCCTGCTGGATTAAACCTGATGTCTCTATAACATCCAGGATAATAATACTCCACAATTTGTCTGATTTGGGTCTCTGTAGCACCACATTTTCATCTTCTAAGTGGCTGAGCCAAAACTCTAAAGTTTCCTTAGGGAAATGGTTAGCTTCTGCAATGACATTAAGTGCTGCCTGATGCTGTTCTTTCTCAATAGAACTGTAGGCTCTAACTGGTCCAAGTTTGCCAGCTATAACTGGCAGGATGGAGAAACCTTCAGATACATCTAAAATGTACAAAGGATCAGGAGCTGCATCTAGAGAGCTCTTGTTTTGACTCTCCTGGAGGTTCACCCCACTGCCATGTCCATCAACATCCATGGACTGCAAGTCCTTACTTGGATTTAAAGCCAACAGCACTTTGCCCATGGCAGCTTTAAAGCATTCGTGGTACGGTACATTGTTCAGCAGGGCTATTTCTGTGGATTCCAAGACACATACTTGAGCATTGCCATCCTGTTTGCTAGTTGTCTGAAGACCAGCCAGAGCGTTGCACAATTCAGCCTCATTGCCCAAACTCAGCGTGTCATCTCTGTTGCTGAAGTCCATCCCACACTCTGAAGTCAAAGAAGAAATCTTCTGGATCTTCAAGTAGCAGTCTTGGCAGCAAACTTCCATCACCACAGTATCTCCAGTCTTAACAGAATAATCTTGGCAAAACAGCAAAAGAAAAAGTCATATCAGTTACTTTACAGCAAACATCAAAGAAGTATTTATATTTTTTTTTTTTTAAAAAAAAAGCAGTATTATCTCATTTATTCATCAGTTGATACTAGCGTGCATGAATGAATTGTTCTGGTCTGTAGCCCACAAGGTGTAATCTGCAATTGTGTGTTGACATTCGCCTGAAACTGTCCCACACATCCAGTTATTCTCAAAATAAAGCACTATCTATTTACCATAGAAAGGCTTAAGTGTTCTGTCAACAGCAGAGCAGAACAAAAACATACTGGCAAAGAAACTCCTTTTGTTTTAAAATGCTAAATATTTACATTTTAATACCTCCTGTAGACAAAGGTAAATTTGTAGTTATGTAGAAAAGAATAGCTACAGTTTAGAAAGAGTAATTTACTCAGAATAAATTTTACTGGAAGATTTATGGTGTACAGCTCAAGATGGTCTTTGGATACTCTCCATGTATGTTCTAAGAAAGTAAATCCACTGATACTAAATAGAATTTCAAAATAAAAACGCTAGTTTGACAGACAGAGCCTCTTTCCTCCCCTACACTTTCTGGTGAATCAGTCTATGGCACAGCTGCCCCTACTGTCTCTTTATACAGATTTAGGAAGAGGTGCAGACTACCCTGAAGGCAGAGAGGCCTCACAGAGAGATCTGGATAGACTAGAGAGCTGGGCAATCACCAACCACATGAAATTTCACAAGAGCAAGTGCCTGATTCTCCACCTGGGATGGGGTAATCCTGCTTATATGTATCAAAGCTGGCCATCTGGGTAGGTGGCAAATGGAGTATGAATCAGTGTGCCCTGGTAGCCAAAAGGGCCAACCGTGTCCTGGGGTGCACTAAGCACAGGACAGCCAGCTGGTCAAGGGAGGGGACTGTCCCATTCTCCACCGCACTGGTGCGGCCCCACCTCCCATACTGGGTGCAGGTTTGGATAGCTCAGTAAAAGAAGGACATCAGGCTATTAGTGTGTGTCCAGAGGAGGGTGACCAAGATGGTGAAAGGCCTCGAGGGCAAGCCTGATGAGGAGTGGCTGAGGCCACTTGGCTTGTTCAGCTTGGGGTGACCTCATTGCAGTCTACAGCTTCCTCAAGGGGGGCAGTGCCGACCTCCTCCCTGGTGACCAGCAACAGGACACAAGGAAATGGAACGAAGCTGCATCAGGGGAAGTTCAGATTGGTCATTAGGCAAAGGTTTTTCCACAAGGAGGGTGGTTGTTCACTGGAACAGGCTCCCCAGGGAAGCGGTCACAGCACCAAGACTGGCAGAGTTCAAGGAGCATCTGAACGACCGCTCTCAGGCACGTGATGTAGTTTGATGTAGTCCTGCAAGGAGCAGGGATTTGGACTCAATGCTCCTTATGGGTCCCTTCCGACTTGAGATTTTTCTAAGATTCTGTGAAACAGGACAATGGAAAATGGGTGAATGGAGAGTAGAGGCTGCTGAAAATGACACTGCCACTGTGTGTGTGGGGGGAACAGTATTCAAGTTGAGTACAAAATGGGGGTGAGAGGTAGGCAGGAATCAGAGAATGGTTGGGGTTGGAAAGGACCTCAAAGATCACTTAGCAGCCAGCAATTCCTACCCCACCTCCCTTTCACAAGTCACATCTTGACTAGGTAGAGCCAGTCAGTAGCCCCGCTTTTTGGAGTTGCTTCACAGCGTATTTCATTCAGTGTAGAAAAAAACCTCCAACTTACTGAAAAACATTCTTCCTGATCTTAAGCAGATCCTTACAGGTTTCTTAGCAGAGTCCCACAAACAAGCCCCTGATGTAGGGCCTGTGTACTACTACAGTCCACAAAGACGATCAGGAACCATCTCACAGCTACTTGCTGCTGAACTTCTCCTAAATCTATTTGCTGCCACTTCCTTATCTCTGAGACAACCTAACTAGCTCAAAACCAAAATGAAAACAAGTTAATATACCGCAACAAGAAAATTCAGAGGACATACCAAGGAGGCCCTGCACGGGATAGACTGCCTGTTCCCAGCAAGTTTCCTCACTGGGGCTTGTAGATAGAGCATGCTCATCATCAAGCTGTAGTACAAACCACACCACAACAGCATCTAGTGTTCCTCTTTCAGTGACTGGCAGGCTGACCTTCCAGGGCTTTCGAGCTGCAAGGCTTTTGAGCTCCTGCCCAAAGTGGAAAGAGAAAAAAAAAAAGTGAGAGTTTCTTTCCATAAATAAAAAGTGGGGGTTTTATTACACTAAGTCCCCCAAATTTCTGCACCAATCCATGGGGGCACCCAAGAGAAACGACATTAACAAGCCACTGGATTACGAATTATCATCATTAGTACTCACTAGCATGGGAACCGTCTTCCCACATGCAAGTGCAATTATCCCCATGACCAACCTTCATCCATCAGCCATTAAAGCAAACCGTCTACATCTAAGAATATACATATTTAGAAATACTGAAAACTGCAAGAAAGTCTTTAGACTGGCAAGGCTTGTCTTATCAGAATAAAAACAGAGCCACTCTTTTGGGCTGGATTCAAGCCAATGTTTAGGTACATGCTTCACTTAAAACCTGTGTTAAATCAGTTCTAGAAATACTGTATGTAAGCAATGAATTTGCTCAGAGGTAAAGCAAAATCATTACAAAACCACGAAGTCAAACATCTTTGAGGATATATTCTCTACTACCTGGGCAAGAGGGCTTTTGTAAAGGCTCAGCCATGTACAATTTCACTACTAGGAAGAACCAAGATCTCCCGTAAAAGGATCAGGTTATAAATTTTCCAGTACTCCCAAAAGTTTTGCATATGTAACAGGAATTAAGTCTTCTTCTATGTACAATTTATTTTCCTCTGTAATTGCCTTCTGCTACCAACATTCACAAAAATAAAAGTCCCAGCTCTAATGTCTTAAGACAGATATGGCATGAATCAATTAACAGGAGGTCAAGCACAAGGGACCAAAGATTCTCTTAGTCGTAACCATTCTGCTTAGTAACAGTCTTTTCTAAACATTTATCATCTTCCTGATCTGCTTATGTCAACATTTGTCCTCTCTAAGTTTCAATCGTAAAATACACAGGGCAAACGAGAAGTTCCATTCTAAGAACATGATTAGCTCTCACATGCTGCATTTTTTATTCTTCCTTGTTTATTCTCATACTGTGTTCTCCAAGAGTTGGTCAACCTCTCTTCTAAATTGAGTGAAGACTGAACAATGCACATGTTAAAATTGCTGGACACTAATGAAGTTCATAATAAGATCTCACTACTCTTCAATAAAAGTGCTTTCCTGATAGTCATCTTTTCTGTACATCTTCAACTGGAGAGAACAAGAGCAGTAAATTGAAGCCTTGCTGGCAGTTATCCCCTGGAAGCAAGACAGCAAGAGCACAAGCATGCACCTGTTTTTCAGTTTCTGGGTAGTTAACAGCTGTTTAGAAGCTTATTCATTATTAAAAATATTCTTCCTGATTATTCCTCAAAAGCAGCAGGCCTACGGTGCCACTTAGCATCCACTGGTGCTAGTAACCGTAGTGTTACATCCCTATCTTGTGGCACACAGCACAAAAACCCACTCGAAGGCAGTTATTTCAGCCTTTCCTGGTCTCTACCATGCTGCTTATCCCATATTTATTCCTCACATTTGTCCACTGCATAAATCTTTTTCTATTATTTATGACAATTACAGACTCAAACAGCTCTAGCACATCAGGATGGCAATTTAACAACTAGTATAGTTATAGAAACAGCAAAGAAAATAAAAGCCATGATGCAGGAACAGGCAGTAAAAAACCCAAAATGCTGCTATGCCACATAGTATCCTCTGAACAAGAAAAAGGTAACTGCCATTAAAAAAAAGTAAATAGGACTACAAAAATAGAAGGAAAAACTACAAAAAGAAGGCAGTTACCAAGTTTCCTATGTCTTGATCCAGAATTTCTCAAATATTCCGCATAGTAACTTCCCATGAAAATTAGGAAGAGCCAATATCCATAATTGTTGGCAAGAGCACAGTTGCTTTAGGGCCTGAAAGTGAGACTGAGCTTTAATTACTGGCTGCTGAGGTAAACACTCACTTCCACCCCCAGTGGCACTCACCTGCTGACAGCAAACACAAACACAGGTAGTACCTGGCCAGGTGCAAGTGTCTGAAGCCTGTAATTATAGTCACATCTCTGCCTGGGAGGAACTGAGCTGCTGCTGCTGCTACTAATAACAGCACTAATGAAGTAATCAGCATAACTCAGCTGCTTTTCTGTTTGGTTGTTTTTCTGGGGGTTTGTTTTTTTTGTGGGTTTTTTTGTGTGTGTGTTTTGTTTGTTTTAAATTTCAACTTATTATTTCTGTGATCTGTACCAATGTCTTTGAAGCCTCCTACAACTCAGTTTGAGAAACACTGTTGTACCTTATTTTGCCTTTTTCTCAGTTCTGTCCATTTAGGCCTGGATAGTTAGTACAAGTAGAATAAATTCAACATCCCTCTCATTTTTTTAAATACAAGTTTAGAAAACAGTAGTTTGGAACTGCCTTACTAGTGCTAAGTGATTTATTATCCGAATTTCAATCTTTAGTAGGTAATTCTGTAAGTATAGCAGGTTTTTTTATTCCAAGAGGAGCATAGACAATTTTTCTTTTTTCGCTGCAGTTATCAAACATTCAAGTGTGGCCATGACAAAGCCAAAAAAACCCACCAAACAAAAAAATTCTCAGGTTGAAAGTAACCTACCATTGTTTGGAACTGCCACATTTGTCCAGTGACAAAGTAACAAACAGTAACCAATTATTCCAAATAAATAAATTAGATTTCCTCCCTTTACCTGTACTTATGATATCTTTCCATTTCATGACAGGAACACTCCATTAGTCTAACTGAAACTTCAATGGAGCAGTTCTGAAATACAGTTTAAAGAGTAACACTCTTCCTCACTCTTTAAAATTATCTTTACATATCTGGCAGTGTAGGCATCTCAGATCAGAGTAATGGTTTCTTATTGATGCTAGAAGCAACATTAGGTCACAGAGACTGCTCCCAGTAGTGTACTGAAGAGCCTTGTCTATTTCATTTTTAATCTCAGGATGTCAGACAAGCCAACTAGGAAAAGCTATTGATTCAGAGACATTGCAATTCCTGGCTAAGCAGTAGCCAAGAATAATTTAATTTATGTAACAGAATCTATTTTAAGCTCTGACTCAATGCTAACTCCTCACCACAGGTCAACAAGCAAGACATACACCAGAGATCAGATGTATCATCTTTTTTGCATGCTCAGCTGCGAGCAGCTGAGGTCCTTGCCTTACAGTTCAGGCCTATTCAGTATATGCATACAACATATTTTGTGAAAAATACACAAAATAGGACTACTGTATTTTAAAATGCTGTGTAACTGAAATACCCTAAAATACCAAAGGAGCTGAAGGGTGGAATCAAACTGGTTGAATAGAATAAGCTGATGTCTTCATCTCCCTTCTGTTTTACACTTACCCATCAACACCTACAGACATTTTTATGCCACATGTAAAATACATGCTCTTTTCAAGAGTTTATTCTCCTTCTCAAAAGAAGAAACACCATCTCTTCTTCAAGACTAACTTTAGCTTATTCCTCTGTCAGCTCCACAACTGCATAAATCATTTAAGATTGGTTTATGGCATTCTTTCTCCCCTTCTCTGTAAAGGCTTGCAGTTGTTTGATCCTATGGTGAGCTAGTTTAGTTCCCTAAACTATGCCAAAGAACTCCACCTTCAAAACCTCACAGACTATCACCTGATGAATCACATCACCACACAACCAGACAAGTATCAAACCCAGCAGAGGGTTTCAGCGCAGCCCTGACAACTTTGCACTTGTGAACTGTTCTGAAATTGAGCCCAGAAAGCAAATAAGATACAGGGTTCTCATGATTCATAGATTACTTATAAAGGCCATAAAAAACAAAATCGTTACCTGAAGGTTATTGAAATCTACTGTCATTACTTGACAAGGTTCTGTTAGAGGTATGTAACCTCCAGGAATACGACTGAGCTTCTCCGTGGTGTAAGGTTCAACAGTTTCCTCTGAACCAGCAGAAGCATATGTTGGACTAAAAAACTGCACTGAATTCGACAAGCACACACCAGCAACTTCTTGTATTTCCACCCTGGGAGTAAAGGGAAAAAAAAGGAAGAAATGAAATGTCTTCATAATCTTCACAAAATTTGACCAAAATACCCAAGAGAAATTCTTCCCAGACTGGCTAAGTATTTTTACATGTACAGAGTTTAAGAATAAAACCCCTGAAAAATAGTAAAAAAAAAGCCTGGGAGGTTTTTTTTATATTCACATGAGCTCTAAAGCAAAATGAATGCACATCTCTTTCAAGAATCACAACTGAATGATGTCACTAGAAAGTGAGAAAAAGACTAGTATGTCCTTTGTTGAAGGCCACAGACTTTTGCTCCCTAAAGTACCATCCACTGAGTCTTGACAGAGAACTAGGAAGAACATACCCTATGATAGCAAGAAAAAAACCAAACTTTTCTTCTGCCACTGCATTAGAGAGAGAATGAAAGTGTTTCCTTCAGGTGAACAGAATAGTCAGAATAAAGACACATAAATATGCAATAGGAAAATGCGTTTTTGGAGTCTCTGACAAAACTTTCCTTTCCCAGTACTTTTTTATATAGTTATGAAGCATAATTTGTGCAGAGTAAGCAAGCAAATGTACATTCTTACAGTGAGCCGCACTGAGAAGTTCAAGTGACAGCCGGTTAAATTTCTGCTTCTATAGCTATTATTAATTCTGAATCACTTTCTCGGGAACGTCCCCTCCCTGCAACTAAGTATGACTAGACAGGCTGTCTGATAACATTCTCATCAGATATGGTCACCTCCTTGAAGCTCCCAATCTCAGAATTGAGTAAATTGCCTTCTGTCATAACCTGGATTCTTAGGCAAATCTATTTTGACCATTATGCATAGCTAAAATACAAAAACAAATTGGACTCCATCTTTGGAGCAGAGTCGCTAGCAATAAAAGTATACGTGACATATAGAAAGCACGAAGTAGTAACAACTTCACAATAAATACTAAAAAACCACAACAACATTATCAACAATTAAAATCTTCTCATCTGCTCAGTGAGGTAACTTAGATATTTTAACAAGTATGAGAATGTATTCTCCTTCACTTGAAACTAAAAAGAATACATGGATTCAGAAGAAATACTACAACTAAAACAAAACAGCTGCTGTACAAGGCCTATATTGTGGAAGAGCACAGCGCATTATTATATTATCATGAACCCTTCTGGCTTCAATACATAAGTACAGTAGGGCCACTTCACTGCCTCTCTTTCCAGGGCCTAATGAATTAAAAATTAAACATTAAAAAACCTCAAGCCTGTAATTCTTACAGTGACTTAAATTAGTAAATTAACCCACATTCTGGCATATTTTATTCAAAATAACTACACGTAGAGGCACTAATGTAGCAGACAATGTTCTCCTAAAGTATTGTTTTACTGTCACACATGACTCTTGAAAGTTATCTAGTTTAAACTTGAAAACCAGTATGTACGCTCTGGTATCTTAAAAAGTTTTGTGGAAGTCTAAATTTATCCTTAGTAAAACTCAAGCCTTCTCACATGTTTGTCAGTTCATTTGTTCTTCCAGAATTAAGCACATTGCACACGGATGCAAAAAAAACACTTCAAAGAGAAAGCAGTTATTTTAGGAGAAAATTTAAAGCTAACCATAAAAAAAAAAATTATGTAACATCACAGCAGAGTTCAGCCCTATAGTCATTCTACGGAACACAATGCATACAAGCACCACCAGCTATAGTAGAGAAACATTACAATTATCACTAAACATCAAGTAATAAAGCTACAATAAGGGGCAAACCAGCACAAAACTTTTTGTAAAGTTGGCTTAAGTGCACCAAAAACAGAATTCCAATAAAACTGGTTTGATTTTTCTAGAACTTCACTATATCCTAGGAAGAAAACCTAAAAACAGAGTACAAGAAATGCAGCATAACTTAAAATCACTAAAACAAAAGGACAGAACACAAAGCAGAAGATCAGATCAGACATAGATGACTGATATGCAACATCATCAACAATTGGAGTGGAAGGGGATTCCCTCCCTCTGCAAGATGAATCAGTGTTTGGTAAGGTTAATAACACTTTTCAACGTACTTCAAAAAAAACCCAAACCAAACTCCAGTATTCATAGATTTCTGTGCTCTACCTCTACTTATAACCACTCAAAGTAAATCATGATGAAAAGCTCAAAGGAAAGTTGTACAATTAATACAAGACAAACTGTGCTAGATGACATTAAAAAAGCACGAGAAAAAGAGATACTGTCACACTGCTATTTCATTAGGCATCCTGATCTTAAAAAAAAACATCCAAACCCTCAAGTTTTGCTGTAGATCATCAAAACACTTAAGGAAATGTGGAGACATGCACATCAGAATAATTGTTCAAGGAGATCTGGATAGCTTAAATCTGAGAATACACAAGTGCTTTACAAAAAGCTTAATAACACTTGTTAAAACAGACTTAAGACAGGTATTCTTACCCTGAGCAAAAAAGGGGTCTCAAACTAAAAAGTCAGGAAATTTTTAGAGAAACATTTTTCTTCTTCCTAGAGCATATAATTATTTTGTGGTAATAATTTCAGTCCTGCTAGCCACCTGACCTTAAGCTACACTAATTAGGATGGATTCTTAATTCAACAATCCAAAATACAGTACATTAACTTCATCCTCTTTACATTTTGTAAGGAACAGTCAATGCCATGTTTCAAGCCAAAAACTTATCTTCGAATTGATGAATAATTAACTTTGCCTAAAAGAAAGTTCTTCTAAAATCATCTCCCATGGGAACTTTAGTCTCTTTCTGATCATTGCCCAGGTCTACTGCATTAGCAAAATGACTGATGCTGCCTGGCTTTTTTTCATCCAGTACACTAAAGCTCCTGGAAAAGTTATGTTTTCTTTAATCTGCAATGAAGATTAATCTTAAAATACATCAGGTCCACTCCTATCAGGCAGAAACTGTCTCCATACAGTGATACTGTTCTAGAAGATGAGAATAAAAATTAATAAAAGCAATTGATACAAGTCAGAACTGGACTCAGCAAAGAAATCCTACTGTATGCTTCTTCAGAATTAGGCAAGGCATGTATTCAGAAAGATAATACTAGGTGGGGTTAACAACACTTAGGCTTTACAAAATCCTGTCCTCATCTTCTGAAAGGGTTACATCCAGCAGCAAGGTGTGGAGCAGATTATAAAGAAGGTAAAATGAGGACAAAGGCCAAGTGTTAATCCAAGAATCTCCAATACAGAAATTGAGAAGTATTTTCTTTACTATTAAGGAATTAAATTTCTTATGTATGTGTTGTAGGCATTTATTTCAGCTTAACTCAAAATCAAGAGTTTCTGATGAAGCGATCTAGAAAGTCCAAACCTTAATGGAGGAGGGGAGAAAAGCATGGAAAAGGGGTGGGGAGAGTGAGAGCTGAAATCTGTTTAGTGAAACAGATAATCAGCCATTCAAAACCAAAAAAAAGATACCAGTGAATGAAATATACTCAGTAAAACACACCTGTCTCTTTCCAGATAACAAATACAGGTTCAAACTGTGCTAGAGTTTAAACTTACCTGTGATATCTACGTATCTCTTTGCATTCTACTGCCATCCCAAATATTGTAGCACTTGCAGGAATAACTCTGCCATAGTCTCCACTACTGACATCTTGATTTTTAGGCTGTGGAAATACGAACAACATGCAATGAGACAATGACCTATTTCTACCACTACTGCAAAGCCTAGGTTACATATTAATGAGCCATTTGGGATGTCAGTCAAAACATCAGTAAATTCTTAGTGACTGGCAAAGCTTCTGGTCTTGTCATTCCAGTTGACCATTAAAGGAGTTAAATACTGTGTTTCAATATCTCCATGCATCAGCTTTCCTGTTCCATCTACTACTTCCTCTGTGTAATTCTAAAAGTGGTTTTTAATTTGTATTCTGTCAGAATATATTGAAACATTTGAGGACCTTTCCTTTATGCATCATTCCTCTACTTAACACTAGAGGTCATCAGTTTCACTTCAATAGAATAGCTCTCAGATAGATAAGACTTTAAGTTATCTGGAATCATGGCAACATCAAAATAAAAAAGTCCTCCTATTTCATAAGGCCTAACAGAGGTTAACCATGTAAGACTCCTTGTTTTATTACTTTGCTTAACATATGCTAGCTAAAATGCAAAATAAAGTAAAATCCAAGACCCACTGGAATTGTTTCATCTTCAAAAAAATTTCAAAGTCAGCAAAAATAAATTAAAAGCATAAGCATATGGCATATTTATCAAATTATATTTGACTGTTCCCTAGAGTTATGATGAGAAAGAATTCTACCACAATTCAGCATTTCTGATGTGACTTTCTACTACTAGTTGGTATCCAAAAATGACCAAGTTGTAGTCAAAGATACAGGAAAAAAGTGCCTTTAAAACACATGCAAAAATCTCTCTGGTGTTACTTACAAAGAGGGATGGAAAAAAAGAAGGAAAAAAAGAGGAATGAACAGTGATCAACAGTGAACCATCTCTGTATGATGGAAAACTACATGAGGGAAACATGCATTGCAAGTACCTGTCTACTGGGAACATGACCTCACAAAAGGACAACGTATGCAGCTGCCTTTCACCAAAACCAAACTCTTAGAACAAACCCAGATGACTCATTTTTAAAACATCAATAGGTAGAAAACATTCACAACAGTTCTTCATTCACATACATCTATGAATGTGCACACACATGTATATACACACAAATATATATGAAATAAAACAGGAATCCCGTTTATACATACATACCCACATGACATACCTTTGGTTGTAAAAGAAGATGTTCCCAAGCATGTATCAAGCTCTCCACAATCCCCTCTCCAAATAAACCAGCATCAACTGTTTCCGTGACAACCAAGGAAACTCTAGAAAGAAAGAGACCTCCATGAAATATAATGTATAACACACATTCCTATTAACAGCCATTCTTTCAAAGAAAAAAAAAACCACTATACCCATGTGAGATCAGAGCAAAACTTCTACTAGTGTTCTGGTTTCATTACAGACGGGCAATTTAATTCTTCCAAAAAATTATGTGTTGAATTATTGTTAAAGGTTATTCAACTTTTGCAGATATGCAGATAGAAGAGAAAAAAATATTGAGCAAGAGTTTACCATAAAGCTCCTTGTAATTTAAAAATAAAGTGTGTGGGAAGAATCTAGCCAAAACAGGAAGATGTTTCAGCCCTGGCACACAGCCAATGATATTGTGGAATATGTATTTTGTCTGAATCTTGTGCAAGGGTATTCATGCACATGTGTTTAAAAGGAACTAAAAAAATCAACTATACTCAAAGCACAATAAAATTACTATGCAGACTAACGGACCCTAAACCCCTTTGGATTTAAAACAAAAAAATATACAGCATAAGACATTTCCAGAAGAGTAACAATTTATTCCTGACGGGTGACATCCAGTCATCATATACATTAAGAAGATATACATGATCAGTTACTTAGCTCAACTGACACAATCCGACATGGCTTGACTGGCACGCTAAACCATAGGAGCATCATCATTTCAGATTGTGAGCCTGTACCATCACCAGACACTTCATTAAATGTTAGTCATTAAAAGTAAAATGGATTATTTCCCTCCCACTTTTCATCTGCATCCCTAGTAGCAGTGAGCTGAAGTGATAAACCAGCCCTTCACATATACCGAACCACACAAAAATCCCCTCAGATTTCTATCTGCTAAAAATTTACAGATCTTCCTGAAGAATCCTGTGGAATGGGACAGTGAGCAAGGAGGAGCAGGGTAACAAAAAAAGCCTAGATCACATATACTAAAAGCTGTAACGCTGATCAAATTCTAGTCTGCCAAAAGCAATTCCAAGCTGCTCACTTTTCGCAGTAGCTCTTGCAATGCTTTCGAAGATGTTACTTTATAGCAGAAAAAAAGCTACTTGATTTTTCCAAAGCACATGGATCTGTGCTATACAGTCAGGTGGGCGGCTATGTATGTATAAACGAAAAGTTCAATACAAACACAAAAAGGTACTACTCTCACAGGAGAAATTGCAACACACTTCCACTGAATTTTACTCCATACTCAAAGCCCTGTGGGCCCCTCCCACGGCAGGGTGATGACATTCACAGCCTGAGTCAGTCCAGCTATCACCAGCCTTGCAAACCCAAACCACCAGGAACTCACATGTGGCACCTTCCTCTGCTTCCAAAACACAACAGAACTCGCCTTAGGGGATAGAGGGGAGGGGAAGTTTTCTCCCACTCCCTGATCAGAAGGGGCAGACAATCTGCAATTTCTGATCTAAGAAATACAGAAGTTGACATGGAGTTGCAGGTATGTGGTCTGTCCCAGAAATGGTCTTCCCTTGCAGGCCCTATTTCATACCTCCATCCTATTCATGGGCTGCACAAATGAGCCACAAGTTAAGTACAAAAGTGCGTTAAAATTACTTTTATGATGTAGTCATCTAATTTCTCTCTTTCTGTTGCTGCAATACAATTGCATATACCCCAAAGCTCCCACCACGGAATTACACTCCTTGATTTATGACACTGTTGAACCAACATAGAAATTAGCACAATCTAAAGAACGCATGACAATTCCTGCAGTGCTCTATGAAAACCATAAAACATACAGAGAACGTTCTCATATTCCAAGTAATATCATGGGCAAAGTTATTTCCTGTTAAGGTCACAGAATATTTTCCATTTTCTTTAAGAGCAAATTAAAAATAGTATCAACTGAGTGCAAAAACGTACCTTTCAGGTATGTGCTTTGGAATTTCTATATCAAGTGACTTCAAATGCAGAAGTTTGATCTTACTTTCCATATTATTTGCTGCCACAACATCACAGGCAAGTTCATACATGGTTTTTGATAATTCACAGGCGTAGACAAAAGATGCTCCTGCCTTTTTTGCAAACATACTGAAAAACAACAATCAGAGCTTTTTCCTTCCATTTTAAATTATTTTAGGTAAAGTGTGACAAGACACAGAGTTCTTAAGTTCTATATCCATATCTGCCTCATATTTCTAAGAAAAAAGTTCAACTCCAAAAATCATCATTAAGCAAACTAGTATCTCTTGTGTGAACACTGGTATCATATAAATTGATATCCTCTTGATATGCTATCACCAGAACAAAACATGTATCATAACGATACTCCCGCAGCTATACTAAATCCACTCTTTATACTAAACTCAATATTTAAAGGCAGGACACACAACATTACAACTCCAAAACCAATATGAGTAATTCAATTTACACAGCAGTTACTGGCACAAAAAGCATATGCAGCAAAAAATTTTAAAAGGGTTCAAAAAAATACTACTAGACACTAACCTCCTGACTCACTGACTTAAGGAAATAAAGCTTTCAGAATTTTTGTCACAATAAAGGCATGAAAAAAAATTTATTTTTTTCACTAGCAACCAAATTTTGTTCCTATTAAGTTCACGTTAAATATGCACCTATGACACACCTCAAAATTCCTGTTCCTGTTCCAATATCAAGGACAGATTTGCACCCTGAGCGGACAGCGCTCTCAATTGCTTTTAGGTAAGTGAGGTTCCTCTTGGTATCGTTGAGCATGATGAAGTGCCAGCGTTCCACAAGCCAGTTTGCAACACGGTAAAAATTCTCCTTTGCATCAGCAAAGTCTGGGTTAAGCTTCACTGCTTTATGAAAATATCCAGCAGCTTCATCTCTAAAGCCCATTCTAAATAGTAAAAACGACAAATAAATAGAAAGCATTCATTCAGCTGCCAAGCATTTGTAAATATCTGTGGGTCTGTAAAGAGGTCTTACATCAATTAAAAGACAGTGGGAATATTTTGCATTAGTTAGAAAGATTATCTTTAAAAACACTGATATTATTTGATGAAAAAAAGAATTCCTTACAGCTCTCTATCAAATCACTTTAAAGTGCAAAGCTAGTCCAAAAATACCATCAAGTCAAGAGAATGCTACAAACCCCCAAACTGCTTTACTGTATCTAACTGGAACACACTGAAAAACAACCAAATTTTGAGTTGCCAGCACTTGCATTAAGTGGCAATTTTGAAACTAAACTGTGAACTTGAATCAAGTTTTTACAATACATATAGCATATTCTCAACTCAGGCAGCACTAAAAACAACCTAAAATCTAAGAAACACAATAAAGATGTATGTTTTGATATAATGCTGGGGGAGTTGTTCCTTAAAACAAAGTAATAACAAAGAGTAAACCCAATTAAAACTATCTGGATCCATGACATGTGATTTCAGTCTTAAAATTCCAGTCTTGGAAGACTTCAGAACCCTGAACAACAGCAAAGCACCATGTTATGCACTGTTTGGAGAAAGCAGGAAAAGAATGCTTTAGTTAATGAAAGCATGAACTCAAACCATTTAAGAACAGCCCTAGACAGTATAATACACATGGCCAGCTTCTTTACTTCAGAGGTCTGTTATATGTGACCTCAAGAAGGACCAGAATTAAAGACAGTATTCAAAGGCAGTAATTTTCAGGGATCTAACAGGAAAAAAAAGGAAGAACTTCAAAAATTACAGGTTAGCTGCAACAATAGTTAACACAGTGAGGCAGAACAACTTTGGTCTTTTTTTTGTTTAGTAATTCCTTAACAAATTTTTAGAAATTATTTAAAGGCAGTGCTTTTAGGTTTTACTTTATGAAAATGGCTTTTTTTTTTTTTTACTTTTGCTATGATAATCAACATTTTTTTCATAGCATTTTTCATAGCATTGGCTACTCTATTTTAAGCTGACAAATAGACCTGAAGTTCAAGTACATGCTATACAACATTAAGCATATGCTTGCATTTACTTCTTTTAAGCATATTTTAATGTACTCTGCTGAACTGGACTTTATTAACATAAATTACTACACATAAACCTTACAAAAACTGAATATATATTACTACAAACCTGAAGAGATGTTCTCCCATACTATTACATATCACTTCATCATTTGGATACAGTTCAAGTGCTTGTTCATAACAGTTAAACAGATCCTGACTCCGTGCCAGAGAATCTAGCTCTTCTGCCCATTTAAATAGAGTAAACTGAAACGTTTCCTAGAAAATAAAACATATACCACAGGGTTGCTGGTAGTTACCAGAGTAGAGAACTGAGCCCTGAGAACACCTAGAGACAGGTATCCTGACATCCACCTGAACACCCTCATTTCCCTAAGCAGCAGCACACAATTGTTTGCTACCATGTCATTAGTCAGCTCACTTGAAACTCTGTGGATATCCGAGAGCTTATTTCTGCTTCTTCATCACCCAGCAGTGTATACTAAGAGCCTGTGTGTATATTAGTGCATGCTATACTACAAGCCAATACTAACAAGGCCCTATTTTTATTAAACTTAGTTGACACACACAAACTAGAAGTGTATCAGTTCCCTTCCCAGAGGCATAGAGAGCTTATTAAGCAAGTTACCAGCTGTCTCCATTATTACTGTTTTCTGCTTTTCTTTTGAAGACTAAGCAGGAAAAATCAGTTACATACAAGAAATCATAAGCACAAAACACGTCATCAAGCCTCAAGAGGAATACAGTAAATAAAGTTGTATCAAGCAATTCAAAGAGCACTTACTTTGACGCTAGTTTTTAACTCGGGAGCTAGATTTAGTACCAAGAGATAGTGAGCATATGCAGTTCCAAAATCCTGGTCCTCCAGGCAATGCTGAGCACTCTGCAAAGACCTGGAAACCAACTCTCGCCTGCCAGCTTCCTGACCACCTCTGTGGTTACAATGAAATTTAGCACTGGAGTTGGGCATTCTGGTGATGTAAATACTCGCTCTTCCTAAAATAAAGAGAGTTGTGTATACTGGAGGCCAAAAAGGTTGCACACAAAGCTGACAGATCAAACAACATTTTCATTTTCACTGACCTTAGTAAAGCCATCCTCCCTCTCCCCAAATCTTAGGCGTTCAAAAACATGCTAATCTTTATGTTATTGAAAATTCCATCAACTTTAACATAAGCATTCACCATTCAAAAGTCAAGCACACATCACATTTATGTTAGACCAGGTCCTGGAAGCAGGTTACACTTCTTCCCTTTTTAAGTTTAGTTTATCTAATACATATTTTAGCATGTCTTTAGCCAAACAGTGTTGCACGCTGGAAGTTCACGCACTCGTAAGTTTCATCACCAACCACAAAATCTGCAGCTAAAACTTCTCCACTTCAACAATGGGATCTTCACATAGCAAAGACTCCCCCCCAAAAAAGAGCTAACAAGCTGTTTATTTTACACAAGACAAAATAACTATTTTTCCCCTTAAGAAAACGTTAGAGTTATCAGAATCAATATGCACATTTGTATTATTGCGTTTGTTACCACTTTAACTTTTAATGCTTACTTACAGAAGAGGACCTAATACCACCTTCAGGATTTTCAGATGTATCCTAAAGCTGAAGAAAGAGAACGTTACATGGACAGGGGCTGCAAGAAACACAGCGCCATTACAATCAGGCTTTTTTTTTTTTCTTTCTTAAAAAGCCCCTAACAAACATCGGCCACGTCTCGAGCGAGCACCAGTACTTTACACAGCGGCATACAAAACTAGAGAGGGCCGTACAAGCTCGCCTGCTGTAGGTATTTGGGGGCCCGGGCGGCAGAGAGGGCGCGGGGACCAGCTCCAAGCGGCGGGGAGCGCGGCGCCACCAGAAAACCCCGCAGGCCGCGCTACCTCCAGACACTGCCCCACTCGCGGAGCGAACCCCAGGGCCGCTGCCCCGGCGCAGGGAAAGCAGCGAGGTGGTGCGAGGAGCTTCCCTTGCGCCGGGAGCTCCCGGAGCCATCACCTGCTTGGCACGGAACGAAGCTCCCACACAGCCGAGACGCGCGCTGAGGACTACCGCCATCTTAGGGCCGGGCAGAAGTCACGGCGCATGCGCAGAGGGCGACGACTGGCGTGAGGGTGCCACCGCCATCTTGGTGCCGGGCAGAAGTTACCATGCATACGCGGAGCGGTGGGCGCGAAGGCGGGCGTAAGGGGTCTGCCGCCGACGGGTCCTGAGGGCGAGGTCCGCGGTCTGGCCGCCTCCCTCTGGCCTCTGGGATGTCCCCGGGCGGGGTTGCTCACCGCCGGCAGGCACGGAACCCGCTGCCCTCCTCGGGGAATCCAGGGGCGCGTCTCCTTAATATATTCGAGGACAGTAAAGCCTAGCGCGGGATTGCGCACAGCGAGATTAAAAAACGGTTTTGCTTCGTCTTCATTTCTGTTCAGTTTGTGACAAGAGGTTCACCCACCCCCGAGCTTTTTTCTACAACGTTAAGGTGTAGACATTCACTTACCTTCTGTTGGCTCAAAGGGACAGCTGAGTTTTACACATTTAAGAACTATGAAAAAAGAACGGCAGAAACTACTATTACAAAGAAGCTAATGCTGCGGAAGGTAACAAGGAGGCACTATGCAGCTAAAAGAAAATTCATAACTTTGTTGGTAAGTACAAGGTTTGAGAAAAGTACAGACAAATCTCTAAACTTTTTTTAACACTAGCTTGTTACTTTTCAGGTGAAACATGGTGCATTGAATGGAAACTGTCACCATTTCTTCATATCTGTATACACATGTGGAATTAAGGTATTTTCATTGTCCACGTTCTTTCTCCATCCAATCTTTTAAAGCTGATAATTCCACTTATACAAGCACAAGTCTAGAAGTGGCCCATAGCAATGCTAAATCCAGTCCTTTGCTGTTTGATGCCGTTTGGCCCTGCTCTACCAGAAAGAACTGCACGCTGTGTAGGCACTGCTTGTGACTGCCCTGTAGTTAATGGTGTTCCTAAAATTTAATTTTAATTCCACTGTTGATGAGTCCCAGGAATGACAGTTGAGGACAACATTCACACTGCCTAGTTTTAAGACATAAACAAGTGCTAGTTGTCTAGGGCCTTTGACTAACAACTCTGCTCTGCAGCAACAGAGCTTGCAAGGAGAAAAATTCAGAGCTTTGCTCCATATCTCCAGTCCCTTATCTCACTCCTTCCCATGCCTAGGATGCCACTTACCTTTTTTGTGGAGCTTGGCAGGTTGCCTGCTCTGGGGAACAATGCAGGGCTCTGGAGTGCAGATCCTTTCTAAAAAAGGCAGAGCTCATTTGGTCTTGTCCTACTTCTGGGACAAGAACAGGCCATGGCATTGTTTACTAATTATGAAATGTTTGGAAGCTGTTCATCTTTTCTTCTCTAAAGCATGAATGCTGCTCTTCCAGGCTTTTACAGCTGTGGATATTGTATACATCCGCATTCACTTTTGAGAAACAAATGAGTACCCCTTTAAAATGTCAGGCCAACATTTTGAACAAGATGAAAATAGCACATATGGAGGGAGAACATGAGTCTAAATGAAACACAGTGGCAGTTAAGCTGTAATCCACAGCAAACTTAATTACTACTGTATAGTAAGAGGGTGGGAAGTCTACAAATGTTTTGAGAGAAGTGACCCAAAGGAAAAAAACTGAGAACAGACCACTAGAATCACAACTCGAATGACACTAGAATCAACTTCTGATAGAGGAAAGATATGTTAAGAAAACATAAAATAAGAACTGGTAAAACACTTGGTCAGGATGAAGTCCATGAAGGCGTGCAAATATTAGTGTCAGAAAGGATCAAATATTTTATATGCGAACTGAGCTAAAAAGGAAGATGTAATATCTTACTAAATCAACCGGTATCAATAAGAACCCAAGCCCTCCTTCAGTTTTTAAATAAAAGCTATGAACTTTAAATTAGTTACAGATGGGGAATAAGCTTCTCTGACTTCATCTTAGTTATGCTTCCCAGCTAGAGGATGATAGTATGGAGAATAAGAAAATATTATCACCTGTGGGATATGGAGAGAGAGGGAAAAAAAAAGTACAGGCAATTATCACCTGTGTACAGTGAGGTGTAACAGGAGCTGGACTGTACCAATAAGTAATAGTAATAAGTCAGTATCTCTAGCTCCATGATTCTCCAAACTCATTCAGCTGTATTTATTTTTGGTCAAAGCAAATGCCAGATGGATAGCATAAATGCTTTATAGTGCCTATTTTTTAAGCATAAATTAAGTAGTACTATGTGCTAATTTGACCCATTTTTTTGAGATTACTAGAAAGCGTCAGTGAAATTCACTGCAATTTGCAAGAGTCAGTTCAGTTCAAAGGCCGGGGAGGGTATTTGTTAATCTCATACAACTTTTTAATGGAACACTTCAGAAAAAAAAAAAAATGGCCACAGAACATCATGTTTGCAACACTGAAAAAGCATACAGTTGCATACTAAAATAATCTGTTGGGTAAAGGTTGTGCTGTAAAGGAGACACAGAAAGGAATGCCCATCTTATATACACGATTGCCACAATAATCATCAAATTGGTTGACAGTAGCATAAATAATGTTCCTCTGCATCATGGGTGAACAGAGATGAATTTGTTTCTATTTTTTACTCTTAATGGATGAGAGGAGAGGGGGCATGGAGCCTAGTGGAACCTCACATATGCATAAGGCCCCTAACATCTTGCAAGCCAACAGTGATGATAGTCATGAGCCAGATGGGAATTAGAAGGAAACTCCCTAAACCTTCTACAGGCCCACCACAGGGCTTTTCTCTGAACAGAGGTAAAAGTGCTTAGACAAGAGAAGAAACTCCAATATCTTAGAAGGGCACTGTTGCTAATGACGTTTTCAACAACTCAATACAGCTGTGTGTTGCAAATGGTGGGAGCCAGTACCAATGCTCTGTAATATGTCAGTAAGACTGAAACTCACTAACTTCTAACTCATCTGTCCATAACATACAGACTGGAGACACAATCAGCAACAGATCAGAATACTGTCTTTTGTGAAAATCAGGATGTTGATCAGACAAGGAAGACATAAGGAAGGTAAGATGGAAGAAAACATATGGTATACTGGGGTGTGCCTGTTGTATAAAATGCCTTGAAGAGAGTATTCCCTGAAATGATGCTTGCAATGAATGTTGAGGGAAAATAACCAAAGCAAAGATATGAGGACAGCATGCTGCCAAAGCTTCACATAGTCAGTCTATGTCATAGTCTCTTAAAAGAGACTACAAGGCGGCTGTAAAATTTGATGACCTTGAGTAGGGAATGGCAAAAAAAGGAGAATTTTCTAAACCACGATTATAAACACTTTTAGCCTTAATTAGTGAAGAAACTGCAACTCCTTTTATTGTTCAATCGATAGGTAATTTTTGTCCATTTAATTTAATGGGTTATTTATCCTCAGTCTTCCATCTCACTTTGTTGGTGTGTTGTTTTTTTTTTTTTTTAAATCACAATTCTGCGATTTCAGGGTCTGACAATGTTTTGAACTGGTGGGTCAGATTTAGAAAAAGATATATTTAATAATATTGGTGGTAGGAATCCAGTACATTGTCTGGATACCAATACTGGATAAACAGTGTAAAATATCAACATTAAAAGGGAAAAAAAGAACACCCAGGGTAAGGGAAAGAAAGAAAGAAGACCCAGAGAACTACAGGCTGTTCAGTCTCTTCTCTGTGCCCAGTAAGATCATGGAGCAGATCCTCCTGGATGCTCTGTTAGGTCACATGGAAAATAAAGAAGTGATTGGTGACAGCCAACATGGCTTCACGAAGGGTAAATTGTGCCTGACAAATTTGATGGCCTTTTCTGATGGGGTTACAGCACTGGTGGATAAGGGAAGAGCAATTGACATCATCTACCTGGACTCGTGCAAAGCTTTTGACACTGTCCCACACGACATCCTTGTCTCTAAATTGGAGAGATGGGGATTCGACGGATGGATCACTCAGTGGAGAAGGAACTGGCTGGATGGTCAACGCTCAGAGTTGTGGCCAACAGCTCAGTGTCCCAGTGGAAGCAGTGATGAGCGGTGTTCCTCGGGGGTTGGTGTTGGGACTGGAACTGTTCAATGTCTTTGTTGGGGACACGGACAGTGGGATCAAGGCACCCTCAGCAAGTTCACTGATGACATCAAGCTGTGTGGTGTGGGGCCACGCTGGAGGGAAGGGATGTGCCATCCAAAGGGACCGGGACAGGCTGGAGAGGTGGGGCTGTACAAACCTCATAGAGTTCAACAAGGCCAAGGGTGAGGTCCTGCTGAAATGCCGGGGTTTCAACCCCAAGGCCCAAACTAAGGTTGACATGTGGGTGATTCCCACAGCCCTCCACAAAGTGGGGGGGTGAATTTACCTTTAAGCTTCCCTCCAGGGTGGGGCTGCCTGGCAGGGAGAGCCATTGGGTAAATGAGCCCCAGGTGTCCCACATTAAGTAAACAAAGCTCAGGTGTCCCACGTAGGGATAAAAGCTGGGACCCCTTGCAGGGGGGGCAGTGTCTGTCTGTGAGGTGGATGCCCTGTGTAGAGTTTCCTGTTGGGGAAGGACCTCCTGCCTCCCTGGGACTGGGCTCCAGTCAGCTCTGGCTTTTGTAAATGCAGGCTGTGTAGAGATTCAGTGTGTGGCTTCCTTGGTCTTATGTGTTTGGCTTGTTGACTTAGTTGTCTCCCATCCCTTCTATGGGAGACTGCATGTCACCATTTATTCCACCCACTGTTGGTTGTGTGCTGTTGTTGGGGTCAGTGGGATTGATGTTGATTATGTATAACCTGACTGACTTGTTTGTACCCCCAGCGCTCACCCATGTGTTGACCCTTTTGTATCAAATACAATTTGGTTATTGGTTCATCTTTATGCTGGCTGTGTCCTTTATGCTAGGCCTAATAATTGGAAAAACACCTGCCCATGGGTTGGGGCAATCCCAAACACAGACATAGGCTGGGTGAGGAGGGGATTGAGAGCAGCTGTACAGAGAAGGATTTGGAGGTACTAGTGGGTGGAAAACTGAATATGAACTGCTAATGCGTGCTTGCAGTCTAGAAAGCCAACCATGTCCTGGGCTGCATCAAGATTCTCACCCTCTACTTCAGTCTCATGAGACCACACCTGGCCTACTGTGTGCAGCCCCCAACATCAGAAGGACACGGACCTGTTCAAGTGGGGCTAGAGGAGGCCACAAAGATGCTCGGGGGGCTGGAGCACCTCCCCTGTGAGGACAGGCTGAGAGAGTTGGGAAGGTTCAGCTGGGGAAGAGAAGGCTCTGGGGAGACCTTAGAGTGGCTGCCCAGACTGAAAGGGGCTGCAGGAAAGGTGGGGAGGGACTCTTGATCAGGGATGTAGGGATGCAACAAGGGGTAATGACATTAATCTGGAAGAGAGTAGATTTAGATTAGATAAAAGGAGGAAATTTTACCCTCTGAGGGTGGTGAGGCCCTGGCACAGGTTGGCCAGAAAAGCTGTGGCTGCCCCCTCCCTGGAAGGGTTCAAGGCCAGGTTGGACGGGGCTTTGGGCAACCTGAGCTAGTGGAAGGTGTCCCTGCCCATGGCAGGGGGGGTGGAACTAGATGGTCTTTAAGGTCCCTTCCAACCTGAACCAGCCCATGAATCTAAGATAGGGATTTTGCTTCCTTGCTTTATTATGTAAACATGAGTTAACTCTTTTTATTTTTAAAAAAAGCCATGCTGTGTGTATTTATGTATTTCTGTTGGACTACTGCTTCTCCTTTTAGCTGCAGGTAGAATAGAATACATTTTTACTTCACATGATTGAAGAAGATGGACCAATTTCCCCTGATGGCCTGTCATGGTAGGACAAATCTAAATTTTAGACCTGGTAGGTATTTCCCTGGTAAAAAACTCAGGGCTAAGCTAAACATTCAAATTTTTTTCTTTTTTTAAATTTGAATGCAAGCAACTCCACACAATGCATTCAACCCGATTACTTAACACTTCAGTAGAATTCTGGTAGGGAAATTACAGTAACTATAAACAAGCGTGAAAAATATTATTCTAATTTTAATTGATAACTACAGGACAAAACAGAGTATTCATGGAAGTCATACTTACCCTTGAAATGCTACTCCAGTAATGTAAACAGAGATAAGGATTGTTACTTTTCTAATTTTTTTAAAAAGTTATTTTTAAACAGAGGTTTGGGTAGCATAATTTCTCAGATAATATTAGAAAATAAATATTACAGCAGATACTGTGAACTAGCAGGTAGGACACAGAAAGGCTGAATGTTCAGGGTCTGCTCTTAGCAGCACCTCCTGGCCTGCTGTGATTTCAGACAAATCATCTGTGCTTTTGAGGAGCAGCTGAATCAGATGGGCACATGGTATTTAAGAGTATTTCAGGAACTATGATTACTACTAAGCCTCCATGGCAAGCCCCTCTCCCCACCCCTTTCTTTACACCATTGTATTTTCTTATTTTTCTTATCTACAAGAACAATGAGGGTGTTATCTTTGCCTTTGATCAACAAATTCTGTGCTTACTTACTCGAGCTCAGTGACTCAGGTGGGTTAACCACCCCCCCCTCAGTCTGGTTTCTGAAGCAGACTCCCAAGTGGATTGTTATTAAAAAAACTAAATATTTGCAAGATTGAATTCTACCTGATACAGTGATTCTCCAAACAGGAGTAGTTTTAAATGAGATTGCTGAAGTGCCCACCCATTTCCATGCATGACTTTGGCAAGTCTAGGGTCATACAGAGGAAAGTTGATAGTAACACTACCAACATCTTCATCTCAGGCATTTCTAAAAATCTTGGGTGCAACTTTTTAAAAGAAGGGTAAAAGTGGCTCTTTTTTAGTGTGAGTCTTGAAAATATAAGGTATAGCCAAAAAAGGCAGCTCTGTTTTCCTTTGCAGCTAGTGCAGACTAGGCTTAACTGTGGACCCAACAATAACACATTTAAATTAATACCAAAGCTCACTGCTTCAAAGGAGCAGGAACCAACACTCAATTTCCCAAAATACAGAAAAGGAAATAGATTGAAGTTATTCCCAAAGAAGACATCTAGACATATATTTCATGACTAGAATATATACCCCCCCCAATCATCTAAAAAAAGGCCCACGGGATCACTATGAATTGCACTACTGTTAAAGCGTTAAAACCATGAAATTATAAATACAAGTATTTTCTGTTGTGGGTTGTGTTTGGTTTATTTTTTTTCTTCCCACAGGTTTCCTAGCGTCCTTAACCCGAACAATCTGGCACTGAGTGCTCTTCTCCAGGTCTTGCTCTCGCTGCGGTGTTTGTGCTCGTTTATTAAACGGAGGTGAGGGTGTCTCTGCTTTACTCCCACTTTGACGGCCAGGGGCAGGAGGGCAGTGCCAGCTCCTCTCCTGGCGTATCCCCACCAAGCAGACCCCGACACCACAAACTGATTTCGGCGCAAGCCGCCCGTGGGCTGCTCTGCCTTTCCTTCCACCTAAAGTTTCCGCGAGGTGAGCCGCCCACCCGCGGCAGCTCCCACCTTTACCCTGCCAGGTGAAGCCGGGCACCCCGCGGCCTGCTGCCACCCGCCGCCGCCGCCTTTGCGGGCCCGCCCCGGCCCTGCCAGCCCGCCCGCAC